GTGATTGTCCAATAGTAAGGCAATACATGATGTTGCCTTATAGTAGAAATATATTCCATATTTTGTTAGTTATTGCAACTTTGCATAAACTCTTATTTCAAATTCTGAACAGTTTGAAAAGGAATGTTTGTGTGTAATTTGCAGAGTGAGTTTCCCCAGCTCTGTTCAGTGGATGACCTTGGAGTTCGACCCCCAGTGTGGTACTGCACAGCCAGAGGACTCATTACAGGTGATTCGCACTATCACTTGGTGTTTCATTTTACTTAACTGTTTATTTTTTTCTTATTATTATTATTATTATTATTTGATATTAGCTCAAGGGAGTTATTGGTTACCTTGTATTTCAAAGTATCTAGAATTATATGTGCAAAATGAAGAATTTTTCATGACAGACTGACAGTAGTGAAGTGAAGGAAATCCTTCAATGTTTTCAATCATATCCATATAAACTCCAGTTACAATTTTGTGTTCAAGTTCTACTTATAATGCCAAAGGAGCATTTGGGAGAAGTGCCAGTGTCCACTGACATTCCTATGCTACAGGCCACTAGCCGCTTTTTAATACCATGATCACTAGGTTAATTACTGAAATGCATGATTACATAGACATTTATAGCTAAAGCTCCAATATTTTTCAGTGAATTAATCAAAACTTATTCATTACCAGGTGTACGTACCAAGCCTGAGCGGTACAGAGGTAGACATTGGTTCAGCTGGGCTGCCCATGTACAGTGATGGCCAAGAGCGAGGAACAGCCGTGTCACAGGACCAAGAGGGAGCTCCTCCTCCCTACTGGGCTGTTCTGAATAAATTTTCTGGTACTCAGAACTGGCCACATCAAACAGTAATTCTTCCAGGTGAATATTGGAGCTTTTCTTTCTTTCTTACCCGATGCCTTGCATTTTGCTATTACGCTAATGTTGATATATGTACTGAATGTTTGTCAAAACTAGGAAGAGTGTTTATGGACATTATTTTCTGTCTGCAGGACATGAAGTCATGTTCTCCCTAGAAACAGCTTCTGATTATGTAAAAGACGAAAGAGCCAACACATACGGTTTTCGGGTCCTCATTGTGGGTTACGAATGGCCACCAACTCCTCCAGATTCTCTAAGACACTTGGAGAAAGAGTTGTCTTACTTGGGAGGACTGTGTTCAGCATCACTTATCAAGAAGGACCTCTGCTTGCCACCTATTGCAGGTAACCTCGCAAATGTCATGTTTCTTAAGGTATAAGATCTTATGGAATAGTTAGAGCTTAAATTTATTGTATTTCAAGATTCTTCTTGCTTTCTCTCTCTATGAATTTCTAACCAATTTTTTTTTTGTATTAACCAGGTGATGAATTGGATGAGGATATGGAACTAGTTGAAGAGATGTCATTGCAGGTGTACCGAGCTCACCCTGGGCTACTGAGTAAAGGGTTTGCCCTCTCACATCCTCCAACTATTCACCAAGCTCTTGATGGCGTCATTCCATTCAGGTAAGACCACCTTGGAAATCCCTGACTTGCTTTTCTAATGGGATCAAAATTATGTGTTGATTTTTTCATTGATTTTATTTATTCACTTATTTAATTAGTTATTTATGTATTTACTTTTCTTTATTATCATAAGGAAGTTACTATTTGTCACATTGATAAGCTAGCTTCTTAGCTTATATGTTATTGTCTTTTAAGTAAAAGTGAAGGAGATATTGTTGTGCTTGTAACTCGAGTGTCTAACAGAAACTATATTTTATTTCCTTTAATTTATTTTTTTCCACTTTTTTATGTATTTTTTCTTTCTTTCTTTCTTTTTTCTTTCTGTCTGTTTTTTCCTTTTATTTTCATTTTTTTAATAGTAATGAATAAATGTAAGGCATCAATGGGATTAGGTTAATAAATATACAAAACTTTTTTCAAGTTATTGAAAACTCTTCAGTGCTTCAAAATAACGATAAAGTGAAATACAATGAACAATGATTACTGAACCTTTTTTTGTGTGCATTTCCTCTGAAAATGTTGCATTGAAGTGAAGATAAGCAAGCTTATGCTGCACATGGAAGGTTATCCATATATACCCATTCATGTAATCCACACACAAAAATATTTGTCATTTTCATAGCTCGACACACACCAAAAATATAGATATATATAATGTTATCATAGCTCAGCACTCATGCAAAAAAAAAAATGTACATTGTTTTCAGAATTGTGCCATATCTTTCTCTGTATTAAGTACATATCCGACATAAAAATGCAACTCATCACTTCATTTACTTATCTACCATTATTAGATTATACATTTCTTTTCTTGAATGTTCCAGTATACTCATACAAGTCACTCTACAGTCTATTCGGTTGTAATAATAACCATCATTTAGCTTCATAACTTGTAACCTTTAAATTTGATATTAACAGACTTCCTATAATTTTCATTATTTAAGAAAAGAAATTCTTTTGTTTTATTAATACTTTCATATCTTTTATTAGCTGTAAATATCCTTTTTGCCATCTTTAT